TTAGAATAATAAGTTTATTTATTCAATTTTATATATTTTAGATTATTCACATTGCTAATGATTCATTGACATGGATTCTGAAACCTGGGTTTCATAGTATATCAATTCCTGAAATATTGGTGCAAACTAATAGCTGGTGTGGACTTTTACCAATTGGATCACCTGTTAAGCATATAAGCACAACTGGTTTAAAATGGAATTTAGGTAAGCCTTTTCATTTATTTCCAGGGCCATGTATAAAATTATTCTTAGTTTTGGTTTACCTACTCGAATTCATATTCTTGATGTGGCTGTAGATTAATTTAAAAAGTAACAATTTTTGTTCTGTCTTAAAAGTTTCGTAATTTTAAACACATTTTTAGTACATATTTTATTAAATTTGACTAAAACTTATGTTCAAATTATGTTTAAAACAGGAAATTGTTCATTTTTCAGATAATGCAACTATACAATTTGGTGAAATGGTAAGCACTTCAAACACATATGATAATTGTTCTAATGTAACCATCAAGACAGATTCATTAGTAATATGGACAATGGGTATAAAGTCACTTAAGGAAAAATATGATTAAAAATGCACAATTTGATATTATATAACTTATTATTTCGTATTAAATTTTCATTCCACTTAATAATGATTGTACTTACTCTATGTCATGGCGAAATTCATAAAAATTTAAGTAACACTTCTAAGAAATACCTATGATAAAGGTTGGGAAAGAGCACACAGTTTACTCTTTACCACAGGGCTCGGAATTATCCAGCACGCAACATTAAGATCGCGAGGGCTACGCCTCTTGACTCTCGTCGTACATTTCGCTCCTCGTGGTCGCCTAAATGTACGGAGTACCTCATCAAATGCTCTATTTTACATACATCGACTACACGAACATTACGTACTATCATTTACTAAGGACCGAGCATTGTGAGAGGCAGGCGAGAATTACAATGTGGCAACAAGAATTGTAGGAATTTTAAAAATCGTTAATGATATAGCTCAGGCCTAGGCAACTTGTGGCTTGGGAGCAGGAGCTGCTACTACTCGTGTTTTAACTAGTGTAGTCAGGAAAAATAACTACGCAAGGCGACGCATGCGTAGGAACATAACACTGGCACGTGTGGTCGCACCAAGGGCAACTAAGGTACACCCTATCGTACAGTCATATTTTAATAGTAACATACACCAAAATCCAACACAACAGGATACATAACTTATCATATCTTAATTCTAGACTTAACGTAAATTAATTTATCTTAATACATTTTTTACAGTACAATTTTTTAACTTATATCGTTACATCAAGTGTAATATTGTTATGAACATGGGTCTGGTAACGACATTGTAACAGAGACAAAAGAAAGTTTGTCAAAAATGTACGTAACACTAGTCCCTCATTTTGTGTGAAATGAAGAATATAAACTTTGTTTATAGTATAGCCTAATTATTTAATTATGTCACAAAATTCGCGGTCACCCACGCAACATTGGTGTCAGAAGTGGGATTCTGACAACTCAGGTTCTCGAGTGGTCGCATTTGGATGCTGCGGCGTAGGCCGGCATTAGCGAAGTATTGGACTCGCAGAACTGACAATTTTTGAATATGAAAACTCGTAGGAATACAAATCGGAAAATCTCATAGTCAGCCGATGTAATTTAAGTATGTAATCTAGCTTTAAATACTTTTTAATTTATATACAAATAGTGAAAACTTTTAATAATTTAAACTTTGAGGAAGGTTTCAAAAAAAATATTTCTCAGTGTTGGTTTTTGGAATATTTTTATATGAAAGGATATATGTATAACTGTTAATGAAATATATAAAAATCAAGTGTAATCTGTATGAAATTAGGGGGGTTTAAATCATCATTTTTATAATTTCGAACTTTTTAAGAGTTATAACTGAACAGTTATAACAGTTTTTACTGAATTTTACAAAAACTGCCTTTACGTTTGAATTTATATCTTCGAAACTATTAAAGATACAAAGTTGCGATTTTTTTCAGATAATCTTAAAGGATATGCGTATTTAAAAAAATGTTTCAAAAAGTAAAAATATTATAAATATTTCAATATTTTTAATTTAAATATTTTTAAAAATTTGAAGAAAATATGTCCGTCTTCTTTGAACTCTCCCCTCTCCATTCTAATTTTTTAATTCGCGGATACTCTGAAACTGAAACTAGGATAGGACGGAGAAAGACGCGGCGCGCCCCGATTCTGCTAAACAGACCGCGCGTTTTACTGTGACGTTCGACGGCTAACCAACCACTACCAATCTCATACTATTTGAATAACGTTGTAAAACACACAGAATCGACAGGTTTCCAACACTGCTGAATAGTGTCATTTATACTCTTAGAAGAATGTTAGTAATCTACTCTTGGCCAATGAGACCTTTTTTTATAATAATCACACTTGTGAATACCAGCTCGTGCTACTTTCAATAACTTTATTAGCAAACGAATTTTTAAATAATTTACGTGACAAATTTATTGCTCTGAAAACACACAACTTTACTTCGCGATTTCTTAAATGTTAATATATTGTATTCGTGACTTCATAATATACGTATAATAAAATTAAAATATGTAAAAACGAATTGCTGATTACACTAAAACGAAGACATTAAAATGCGATTTTGGAAGAGCGAGAAATGCAAGATTTAATTTATGTACCTAATTATACATTGATTTTAGATTTAGGATTTGTATTATTGAGATTTTGTATTACTCAATCCCTGTTACACATATTTTTCTTAATTACACAAGAAATTTGTAGCGAAAGAAACGAATAGTTCTCATGGTAATCGTATGCAGTGATTGAAATGGGCACCCTATATACAATATCGAGAGAATATTGTACATACATAAGTAACTACATACTTTTTTGGACTATGTAGGCCGCCTTTTCTAGAAAGTAACTGGTTGCGGGGTTGCTAATAATATGCGTATTATCACCGCAGGTTGTGTTTGCTTTCTCGTCGATATTATATTATACATATATAGACTTGGCCACTAAGTATAATCGTTTTAATTGTTTTCGTAGTCTGCACAGGGATATGAAAAAAGTTTATTCACAGAAGTTGTATATTCTTTCATTAAATCTTACTCAATTAAATAAAATACGGTATTTCATTTCGATAAAAATTTAAACAATATTTTTGTAAAATTGAACTTCTGATGCTTAATTTTAATATATATAACGCGATGTTCGCCAGGCACTGGAAGAAGAGAGCCACATGAAACGGGACGATTTTCCAACCGATTTCGAAATCCTGACTTTCGCGCGATAAGGATCCAAAGAACAAAATTGATCTCGTAAAACAAAATAAATTATCAGGCTCTATTCTCTTTAATCCTTCTCTTTAATTCTCTTTAATCCTCATTTTTGATTCTTTATACAATTTTCGCGACGGTTTCGCAATCGGTCTCGAAGAGACGCGAAATTGCAAAGCGCAGTTGGTAGACGCAATTACAAATGACTGCCACGGTAGTTCCCGAAACAGAACGCAAATCAACGCGTGCGTTGTTCGAATACACGTTTCCACGGAAGCACGGTAACGATACGGAAAATCACGATAGCACAACGAGTTACACGCCTACCTCTCTCAGTTACATCCCCGAGGAAAACGTCCGAAATAAAAAACTACACGAAACTTATGAAAACCGAACGGCGCTCTCGAAGCGAGAGCGGAATGATAACATGAAAGTTAGAGCAATCATTATCGCACAATCATTATCCGAGCCATCTCGCGAAGAAAGCAAAGGATCACTGAACGACTCACCGTTTCTCGACAACTCGTTTGCCTAGGGCCTAGATGATACGGCAACGGAATTGGGCCTCGATGGAGTTAGGATCGGCACGTAACTTTCGTTTGCACTCGCGATTAATCGCAAGACAAAGACGTGTCGTCGCGTTACGGGAGGTCGCACAGCAGTGATCATTCGTGATACTTCGCGGGTTTCAGAAATGCAAGGAGCTGCTCTTACATACCCCACCCTCTACTTATTACTGTGGTTTAGTCTCGCGCTCGTAACACAAACGCGAAGGATTGTCCCACAAATGGTCCTGGGCCCAAACCGTTTTATAATAGTATCGCCTTGGTGATCGAAACGAAGAATAATATCGCTTTAGTCATCCCAGGGTGCGTCCACGCCACTCACACATATAAAACTCCTTATACGGGGCGAGACAAGATTTAAAAATTTTTTTATCATCCTGCAATCTAAAAGATTTTGTGTATACTCATTCCATAGAAAACTAGTCGGTCTAATATCTTAAAAGTGTTCAAGTCCTTTGAACCAATTTCAAAAAAGTTATCAAATAATTGATAACGAAAAGAGAATAACTCGTCGGTCATACATTGGTGACACTAATTTGTTATCACTTTTCAAAATTAATTTCAATTGCAATATACATATATTCAAACAACCTGAATTTTACTAGGATGTTTAGAATGCAAAAGAGCTAAAGTATTATACTAGTCTAGTAGTATAGTAGTATAGTACTAGTTAAAGTCTAGTTTTAGTTTCATTAATTAAATTACTTCGATTTCGTGGAAATTTTTTTGGGCACGCGCTCGTGATTGTATGTCGGAAAGTTTATATTCGGCTATTGTGTCTTGCAACCGACGCAGACAATTTTTATTTTGCATAAAGATCCGGACTAATAACTATAACATACACTAACAAAACATGGGTAACATCAATTAAATATTATCTCTTTTTGAAATGAACAGGTGTCCCAATATATGCGATTGCGCCTTTGAACACATTTATTTTATCTCGTAACGATAGCTGAGAATTAAATCAATACAAGTAGAAATACAATTGGTTCCTTTTCTTCATTTAATTCGTTAAATGAGAGTTAAATCGTTAGATTACGATTACAATTATAATATCTGCTCTATAAAGACAAATTGTCTCTTCGAAAAACCACTTATTTATGGTCTATATGGAGTATGTATTAAATGTACCTTGTACAATGCATCTTCGCATGTATGTATTATGTTCACATGACATTTTTGTCACGCAGTATTGACAAGCATTTATAAAACACTCTGTGTAATATGTGATCGAAATAAAATTATTTCTCTCACCTATAGCTGTTACAAACGTTTGAAATAGAGTATTTATCTCCGATAAATATTATAAGCAACCGAAATAAATTTTTTCACAGATAACAGTTATAGGCAACTTTATAGGCAAAACAATTTCGGACGAAGTTAACTATGACAATGATTTTTTCACATTGATTATAATAGTTATGGTCCTTGGTTTTCCGTGTTGCAAAATTCAAATTTTACAAACAAAAACTTAATTTAATTACATACGATAACAACGCATACGCTGAACGCTTAGACGACCAATAATATTGCCAATCTATCAAGGTTCTCAATATTATTCTCAATATATATATTGGCAATATGTACCGTCAATATTTATTGACAAATCACATTATCCTCATGCGTTCAGTTTTATTGACAGTATAGTACAAGTTAGTGCTCTTATAATGATGTTGGGTAAGAAAAAAGGTGCAACTATTACTTTGGCGTTATCAATGAGGAAATTACGGAAGAAAAGAATTTAGCACAGTATACAAACATTTGATATTTCTGTTATCCGCAAATCGCACACGTGTTTGTATACATTCAATGTCACTGTAATTGAAACGCGTAGTCGTATTATATGCAGCAAGTAAATATATGTATAATAATTAACACTAGATTTACAGAGCACTAAAAACAGATGTTTTATATTAGTTTATAATTTTGAACGAGTGTAGAATAAATTAAAAAATTAATGACCGGTCATTTTGATGGGTTCCGTAAACCTACTGTTAAGACATTTTAAAGCAATCTCTGTTTTATGGAGCAATTTAACTTTTTGCACTCGGAAGATTTTTCCGATATACCTATCAGTAATTCGGAGCAAATTTTGCAAAAATTCTCATTTTGTTATACAACATCGTATTGAAATAAAAACCATTATACCGCTGTGAAATTTTATACGAATTAATAAATAAAAAAATTTTTGTTTTTATTTATGTATTTTACATGATTACCTTGAGGATAGCGAATAAATCTCATCTGAGATTTGAAAGCATATATAAAAAATATATATATATACGATTATCTTGCAGTATGAAGAAAAATAATTAAAAAGAAATACCACTTTGACATGAATATACCATATCGGCAACATTCGAGTACAAAGGGTTAAATATTAATAATTTGTCCAAAAATGCCAATTTAGAGCACGAATACATTTTGGAGTCATCGTATTTGTATTGCACTTAACCTTTAACTGGTGTAATGATGACTGACATACACAGGGGTCATGATAGATACTAAATAAAAAATGCAAAAAACGGTGTTGATCTAATTCTAGACACTAGTTCCATTGATATTTTATTCGTATCTAGCGTATAACATA